GCACGCGCAGAGACGTGTGTGTGTGTGTGTGTGTGTGTGTGTGTGTGTGTGTGTGTGTGTGTGTGTGTGTATATATATATATATATACACACACACACAATTTTTGGTACCCAAATGAGACTTTTAGCATGTCTCGAGAGGTTTTTGGCCCACTATTCATCATCACACTGCTCCAACCTTCTTAGGTTCGAAGGTTCCCTTTCCAGGCTGTTGCAGCGTCTTTCACGGATGTCCAATAGTATTTCTGTCAGGAGTCTTCAGAGTAGCCCAATGTTTTGCTCGTAGCCATTTTTTTAAATAGCTCTGTGTGTTTGTGTTTTTATCCTGTGGGAAGACCCATGACCTGCAACCAAGACCCAAGTTTTCTGACACTGAGCAGCACATTTCAGTCAGAAATGCCTTGATCGGCTTGAGCTGTGTTAGCCCAGCACATGTTCAAGCAGATCTTCTCTGAGTTTCGTTGGATGAACAGACACACAGGATAGTATTAAATTACAGCACGGATGTCAAACTCGTTTCTGTCGCCGGCCACTTTGGAGTTCCATTTTCCCTCGGCAGGCCGTTACGACAGAAACAGAATAAATGTTTAATCATCTCTTCGCATAACATATACACAACCAATTGATGGTGCAGAGGTCCAGGCTTGTATTCCGGGCACCGGCCTTCCTGTCTGGTGTTTGCATGTTGTGGGTTTTCTCTGGGTACCCCGGTTTCCTCCCCCATTCCAAATATATGGACACCCAAGTGTCCCGAGGTGTGAGTGTGAGCGTGATTGTTTGTTGTTTGTCTCTGTGTACCCTGCGATTGGCTGACAACCATTTCAGGCTGTGCCCCGCCAACTGCCCACAGACAGCTGTGATAGTCTCAAGCATGCCTGCGATCCTCGTGAGGATAAAGCGGATCAGAAAATGGATGAATAGATGTTCGTTTGAAAAGTATAGGTTTTTGACCATATACCCATACTTTATGGACACCCTCTACTTCGTTGTAGCACCTTTGTGGTCATAGGCTGCATTCAAGGCAAAGCATAATGTACAATATGGTAAACATATTTTGCTTTATCCTTACATGAATGTTTCTATTCGAAATAATTTCACGTAACACAACGTGATTTGTACGGATTGAGTGAAAATATGGCGTAATCTCACTACATGGAGTGATTTGGTGAAATCAATTACCGGTAAATGATTTGACGATAGCATATTCCTTTATTTGCACAAGTTAAGGAAATAATGAAGAAAGTTTTTTGGAGGTAAAAAAATGTGTTGTGGTGAACCAGAACGACAACTATTGGAATCAGACATCGTTGTTGTTGACATTCACTTTGAACGCCTTGTGGTCGGAAGTGCAACAATACGAGTGGGATCATTCCGATTTCCCACCTTCTTCGAATGCAGCATTCGAAAAGCACTCGGTCTTTTTGGGTACGAGTTTGACGGCGTGGCACAGCTGCGTGTGGCAATATTTGCCCAATCGGCTTTGCAAGAACACTCCGATTCCGTCAGATTCGAATGCAGCATTCGAAAAGCACTCGGTCTTTTTGGGTACGAGTTTGACGGCGTGGCACAGCTGCGTGTGGCAATATTTGCCCAATCGGCTTTGCAAGAACACTCCGATTCCGTCAGATTCGAATGCAGCATTCGAAAAGCACTCGGTCTTTTTGGGTACGAGTTTGACGGCGTGGCACAGCTGCGTGTGGCAATATTTGCCCAATCGGCTTTGCAAGAACACTCCGATTCCGTCAGATTCGAATGCAGCATTCGAAAAGCACTCGGTCTTTTTGGGTACGAGTTTGACGGCGTGGCACAGCTGCGTGTGGCAATATTTGCCCAATCGGCTTTGCAAGAACACTCCGATTCCGTCAGATTGCAAGATCCCAGTTCCGTTGGAACAAATAAGCCATAAAGACGCGTTACCGCCTCGAAAAAGCTTTTTCTAAATTTACAGAGACGTTAGTAAAAAGTAGGCGCTGTTAATGGAAATGCATATGTCCCCTTTAAATAGTTAACGTCATATGTTTTTGCAAACTTTTAAAATAGAATGGAAGTCTACATTTGAATCACAAAACAAAAAAATATTTGTCCGCGGATGTAACAGCCAATCAAAATGCACATGAGCTGTCACGCATAGAAAATACATTTTAGGTTTTAAGCTAGTGACTTCTTGTATTTGTTTGAAAGTAATGTGGTCGACTCGAAGCTGTTGTACGAAAATATTTATATTGGATACACGTTTCCACCTAAATGTGTCGGTTAATTTAGTTCCTCTTTGAAATCCATAGATGGCGGTAAAGAGTCGCTTGCCAAACACCAAAGGGCGAGTAGAAGGCGAGTGTGGGCAGGAAGGTTTCGACTTGAACGCGTGTTCTGCATTATTTACGCAAAGAAGAAGAACCCTGTCAGGAAGGAAACAGAAGAGCGGTAGCGGAAATCCTCTCTCTGTTGATGGATCCTTTCAACTGACCAAAACATGGAAAGCCCAGAGTTGACGTTTACTTTAGCATACACAGTTTGCTCCCTGTGCTTCGTCTTTACGCCCAATGAATTTCGTTCGGCCGGTTTGACCATCCAAAACCTCTTTTCGTCTTGGTTGGGAAGCGAAGAGATGGATTTCGTACAGTACCACGTCAAGAGGAGTAGCACTACCCTCCTTGTCCACTCAGCACTTCCACTCGGTACTGCTCGTAACAGGCTTTGAGTAAAACTCTTGTAAAGATCTTGATCATATTGGCCCGCTACAACACTACATGCTAGCCTATACTTAATATTGATGTTCTTCCAAGTAACTACACGTACTCTGTAGTACACAGTGTAGAGGGACAGCATTAAGATAATTTCTGACCAGAATAATTTGTCATGATGACAACTCCCTCCCTGCTCCCTGATACACTAATGTCATGTCAATGTACACACACACACACACACACACATGTGTGTATATATA